TGAAGTTCCTCAGAAATAATTTATACCGGAAATTAACAAACGAGCAGATGCGCAACAATTACAATAACAGTTTAGCCTACCATTAAAATGACCTTTGTACCTTATTCCACATATTATACCACTCTATACACCTTATTTTTTCTTCTTTATTCTAGCCCTCTCCACCGTTTAATCCTAGTTTAAAGTTACCCTTACAGCTAGGTTAATAGTCCTTGCAAACAAGGCACCCCCTACCCTATTCAAATGTAAACCATCAATTCCAAAAAACTCTTTCCCTACTGAAATGATTCCACAAATCCAATCAGCTAACCTGCTCTTCTCTACATATTAACCTAAGCCTAGCATTCAATCCTAGTGACCTACTTATAATTTCAACCCCACTGTTAAATATTGGCAGGATACCTGACAAAATTGTTATTATGGCTTTTTTTTAGAATACTGTTATTAATGTCTTGTAATGAATGATAAGCTTCTCTACATCATTGGCATCAAGATTGTTTCACTACAAGCATCCTTTACAATATTACTTGCTCTGTCAGTTATATCCTCCACCCCGTCCTTGGATAGCATAATATTTTCTTCCTACTTATCTCAAAAAACTATTTATTATATACATATGCCATACTAAAGAATTCCCTAGAACAATAACTCATGTTTTTCATTGCCATCCCTATCTTTGCCTTTTGTTATCCTTCCCTTCTCCAGTTTATCAGCTATACAAGCTGAAGACTGAAATTTGTTGCTTAATAGCATCTGCTCATTATAATTAAATCCATTTCTACTAGCCCTATTAATATTGTTTTTAACTACCTGCAAAAGCTTACTTCCTCTAAGTCCTGCTGTAATTTCCAGCAGTTTACCCTTCTCTTTCTCCATAGTCTCAACCTTATTTTGAACAGCCTCCAATTTTTACTCCAACCTACAAACTCTACAACTTCACTACTAGCTCCCTTAAATGTACATGTCAGCCCAAGTTCACTCCATGCACCTAACAAACTGTAAGTGTTTAACAATTAACTACTTTTAACCATTGTCGCCTGGGAATAAATAACCAACACTAAATATAAGTACCCTACTGACAACACTGTTAAGCCTAATGTTAGAATTAAATGTATTACACTATCTTAGTACTTATTAAACTTATCTTAACCATTGTAGCCTGGGAATAAATAACCAACACTAAATATAAGTACCCTACTGACAACACTGTTAAGCCTAATGTTAGAATTAAATGTATTACACTATTTTAGTACTTATCAAACTTATCTTAACCATTGTAGCCTGGGAATAATTAACCAACACTAAATATAAGTAGCCTATTGACAACACTGTTAAGCCTAATGTTAGAATTAAATGTATTACACTATTTTATTACTACTTTATCTTCTCACTAAAGTAATTAAGCTTATCTTTAAAATGAGAAATAACTAGTCTTTAGGTTACATTTATTTAGTAATACAATTCACTTAGCTTGTTCAATAAGTTAACAATAACTGAATGACTTTAATTAAAGTTAAAGTTGTGTTACACTCATTAAGTTAAACTGTAGATAAGTGTAACACTAAATCCTCTATTAACTAATGCTTATATCATTAATAATCTACGTCAGTACCAAAGCTATGATGTACAACACATTTCTAGTTACACACAACTAAATGCTAATTTAAACAATTTACTAACATATTAAATTCTCAGCAGTTATGAAATAGTAATAGAAATGTAATTTAATCTTTTAAGTTACACATATTCTCCTTCTAGCTTAGCCAATACTAGTGAAAACTCTATACTTCATCCTAATATTCAACAGCTTTATTATCCTACAAACCAGTACTAGTAGTAGTAGTAACCTAAAAACTAAAGGGAAAAAAAAACTACTGATCTAGTATTAAGCCTAAGGTCCTAACTTCATGCATATATGTACCTGGCACTACTTACTTGTACAAATTTCTCAATAAAGTGTAGCTTCTGACATTATGAAAATGATAGTAATTATACTATGTTAAAGTCTCACATATAGAAAATAAATATGCATAAGAAAATTTCTAAAGTTCTATGAGATTAAGTACTCAGTTTTTTCCCCTTGATCAAATGATGAGGTACATCTTGAACAAATACAAAAATATCACCATAAAAAACATGATAACATATAGTACTATCCTACAGACCAGACTGAAGAGTTAGAATGTTTATAATACTTACCTAAGAACATTTAGTAAACCTTCCACAACATTAGGTGGTTGTTCCTTAAGAACTTTAATAGATCCCTTAACCTGAAATACAAGAAATAAGATATGTATGCATCACCACGTAACATGATTAACCCTATCCCAAAGTAATAGTTTTTTGGTGAAAGAAGCCATTGGTATACATAGTCATATAAAAGTTACACTGTATATGTTAAAGTAATAAATTTGACAGATCTAATTTTAATGTATCAGTGTTAGAGTCCTACCTCACACTTCTGTTACTTTCTTTTACTTAAATAGTTTAAATAAATATTAATCTTTTACCCAAAAATTCTCAACATAATATTCCCTTTACCTCAAAAATGTTAAAACTGATGGTATGTTTTGATATAAACATAGCTTTAGTAAATAATCATTGAACTTAGTATACCAGTGTTGTAGTACAATTCTTAGTATAATTAAGATAAATGATAAGAACTTAAAGATACTAGGTTCCTGTAAGTGTAATGATATGATAAAATCATATTTGAGCCAAGACACTTTTTTATTACATTCTCTTACATTAGTCCATTACTAATTTCAAAATGAAGTGGTATGTCAAAGTAGCATTTCAGAATTATCTTTTGTCTCTCTTAAGTCATTGCCCTTACAAACTTTTTGTTATAGATTTACATATATCAATTTACAGACTGGTTCACAATAATAATAATGAAATAAAAAAAGCAATTTACATGCCATAAAATAAATTTGCATTAAATATTAGGCCAAATAGTCTTCCTTGCTTCAAAAGCTTATACATCACATCATTCTGGGCTTGGATACTGGAATTTATATCCAAAGACACACATTCACATCACATATTTGTTAGACCTAATCCATTTTGTTTACATCACAACCTTCTAGGCTTACATATTGGAATAAACATTGTGGTATGAAAAGTTTTTCAATCATAATGAAATAAATATATAGAATTCACATAACAAACTTACATCAATGTGTGAGGTCTTTGTGAATGCTCCTACTGGGTGAACATGATCATAAAGAATGATGACACCAACCATCACTCTCAGCACAAATAAGATGGTCTCCTCATTTTTAAATCTTGAACAGAATCCCCTAACAAGAAGATTGACAAAAACAAAAGATAATTCATACTTGGTTAAACCATAATGAAATAACTTTTAAGTTCACCACTACAAAACATCAGCACAACAATAACATGTGGATAGGCTTTTATCACCTATTTGTTCATTACAAGCTGATTTTCAGCTACTTCATGTATATATTAAAACAAATAATAATTTTGTCTTATCATCCTACAAAAGTTATGCTTTTAGACAAGGAATGTGATAAAACTTAAAATGCATGAAAGTTTTGGACATTCCTAAAGGTAACATTTTTTTACTTGTGAGCTTTCAGCTCCTCTGTTGTAGCCTTAGTTAACCCTTTCTGTACCGTCATTGATAATATCCCTTGATTTTTTACTTTTCACAGTAAAAATATTTCACCAAATTACAAGAACTTACTAAACAGTATCAAGTTTTGGCTTTAAAAGAAATTCATGCAATTTGATTAAGTTTTTCTATTGTTTTTTGTTGTTGTGAAATTTCCAAAATGTTTAAGACAATATTTTGAAAAAAAAAAAAATTTCTATGTTTATCACAAATTTCTATTTTACATATCCAGTCAGTTTTAACTTTATTGATATTCATTAAAATATTTATTTGGAAACTTTATTTTGGTGATTGCAGTAGTCCCTACTTCCCGCTATAAATCATAAAAAACAGCAGAGATTGACAAAGATTTATCGATGACCTAGAAGCTGACTTTTCAAAATGCTGTCAAGTCAGATTAGATAATATTTTTGCTAACAATATTCTTAGTCAAAATCAACTTATATCTAATAAATATACTTTCTTTTCAAGAAATTATACATGCTCAGATCTGCAATTTCTTCCTACGTCTTCTTAACTTCCATTACATTTCATTGTATTTCTCTACAGGTAGAAGGTCTTATCACTTTTCCAGAAAACCATAAATTACTTCTAATACCAATTATTCACTCTACATTGACCTAAATAGTTTATAATTTGCTCTGTACTATAATATCTAAAATTTGCCTACAGCTATTTTTAAAGCTGAGCTACCTTAATAGTTGTTCTAACCACATGCTGTGAGGTTACAAAAGGGTGGGAATGAGAGGCCATTCTAATCAAATTAGAGCAAGAAAAGAAAAATCATGTGAGAAACAAACCCTTCAAAATTATACCTTTATAGAATGATAGTTTCTTAGCAAGTAGAAACCTATGCTTTGGATTGGGCAGGAAAATTCTAAGAAATTGATAAGTGCATTGTTTATAAGCAAGTCTCAACAGAAATCTAAATCTGAGCATTTTCTTAAATTTTGCTCCGTTAATTACACTAAATAAATGTTACAAAATTGCAAATTAATTTTAAAACATTTTTGTTGTGTAAAATTTTTTTAAATAGTTAAATTTATTATCTTTACCTAAATTTTGAGATTTAATATGCAAGTGTGCACTCAACACTTGAATGATACTCACCAGTTCAGAAAGAGTTAATTATTCTATTATTTTTTAATCCCATAGTCTTCTAAAGTTAGTTATTTATATTTTACACTTAGGTTAAAAACAACTAAAGTCCTACAAAGTAAACAGAAACCAGCCACAATAACTAGAAATATGTGAAAAGTAATCTGCCCTGATCAGGGTTGAATAGAATATTTTTGGCTTACACTTTTATTTTGAGATCAATGCTGTACCACCTTAGCTACTGAAGCATTAAAGCAGACAACTTGGAGCATTACACAACAACCTGAAAACAGCTCTAGCAAAGGAACTGAAAGATTGTCAGAAATAAATATTATAAGATGAAGAAAGTATTTTTAATGCTAGACTATTTACAATATTGCTAATACAATTTTCTCAGGACAATGTTGAATTTTTGTACTTTTACAGTATCTTACAGTTTTCACTAACCTACACAGCTTCAACAAAAAAGACAAGTAACAGAGCTTTGAAATATGATCACACAGTATATACTTAATAAACTCTTTACAGCTGATTATCAATTATTAATTTCTAAGACTGGGTTCCTGATAAATGAAACCTATGCACTGTACATATTGTTAACAAAATTAGAACATATGGTTTTTTACAGGCTCATTTGTGTATTTCGAGTAAACTACTGAATTATTTAGATAATTTTTATATGTTTTTCTACATTAACATTTAAGTTGAAAACTTAGTAATTATAAGATGTCATCAAATGACGTGGAGAATCTTTATAAAATTGCTTTATGGAATCATTCAAGATGAAATATTTGTTTTTCTTTGTTTCATCAGCACCCAAAGCCACCTATTGGGATACTTTTGTTGATTAAATATTGTGATTTGACTGCCACACTTATAGCACACCCATGGCTCCAAAATGTGCACTGATTGGGCAACAGACTCTGTAATTTACAGTACCCTCAGATTTACAGTATGGGCCCACTAGCCTCTAGGCTACATCCAGCCAAAATATTTGACATTAACATTTTACTACACTAAAAATGTATTTTCAATAGATACTTATTTCCTCAATTTGTGATGCCCTCTATATGTGCAATTTCCTCTTGCCACTAGCCTTGAGGCTCCCACCTAACATCATGTGTTTACACGTGGTATAGCTGTGTTGCAGCATGAAAATGAGCATGTAATAACCCTCCATCAACAGGAGTGTGATACACCCTCTTAGCACAGCTGAAATCCCTCTATAATGTAGAGCACAATCATCACTTTGAGATTAGGCAAAAAAATGCACTGGGAGTGGGGAGAATAGGTGGGAAGAGTAAGTAGAGATATCTATTGGAAATACATTTTCAGCATAAGAAAATGTTAACTTCTGATATGATACCTTATCTTTTCTCACATAATTGCTAGAATACCACATTAAAGAGGTGGAGGAACCAGTACAAAAGTTACCTAGATGAGCACTCTTTGGAAGATGTCTGAAGAGAATCCATGGAGTGAGATACCTTAATATATAGGATCACACACGTAGGAGACAGCACCCCATCTGTACCAGGTATACTCTTCGCTTGTAGTAAAGATAGCATGTCACGGAGTTTGGTGGAAAATATGGCAGTCCAATTAGTAATAGGATGTGCCAGATGGTGTAGAGTAGCTATGCCACATCAGACCATAATCAGCAGTCCAACTCTAGTCCAAAACCAGGCAACATCGGTATTTGTCATTCAGCTCGAATTAGGAGGGGGGTCCCAACCATCTTCATCTCAAGCCCAGGAAGCAGAAGGGAAAAGCAACTTCCATTCCAACAACTCAAGCAGAGCACGTGTGCAGACCTAGTACACAATGAACACCAAGCTAACCAGAAATCAACATCCAGATGATAGTAGGAAGGGGGATTGCAAACATGGTGGGTCAACTTCAGTCCAAAACAAGGCGGCATTAGGAATGTTTCACCCAGTTTGCAGTAGGAGGAGGGTCTCTACCAACCACATGCGTAGGACTTATGTTGGCTGGTCCTATGCCAATCCAACACCAGACTGCCTGAGAATTGGCATCTAGGTTGTGGTAAGATGGAGAAAAGCCAGAAGAGGGGTGAACTGCATGTGGTGGATTTGTCCAGTCCAAAACCAGGCGGCATAAGGAGTTTGTCTTCTGGTCCACAGTAGGAGAAGAGTACTCACCACCTACATTGATAGAACACCACTGCTCTACTCTTGGCTGAGTAAAAGTTGTCACACTCCGGAGGAAGCCTCCATGGCCCACCACCGAAATAGCTAGGAACTGGTAAGTGGAGAGGACTCCCATACTCCATTGGAAGAGAGGGAAACAATGCAGTGAGGAGTCTGGATGAAAGCAACACTGTAACACAGTGCATAAAAATCCTATTTTGAAAAATAGGCCAGTCCCAATTTATTCAACTAGAACTGGAGGGATGAGCAGCAATCCTGACACTGCTTTGCTCATGATAGTCCACGAGTTGATACAGTCTGATAAGAGCCTTATTTTTGAAGCAAGATACTGCAAGGAATCCTATAGTGTTCTTGTGGAACACCCCACCTCATAAGGGAGCATGATGGACCTGTTAGGTCATATGGTGTGGATTTATAAGGAAATATACCTGGACAGGCACCACTTGCCACTGAGCAGGATCCAGAGATATAGAAATAAGCCACTGTAAAGGTAAGATATATAAAAAGAGAACTTACCCATTCAGAGCTCATAAGGGGTATGTAGAATGGCGACAAGAGGAAGTGGATATCCAGAAGAGATGGCCAGAAGATGAAGACAATGTGAGACGAAAGTAAATGGGAGGACACATGCCAGTTTGCATGAACTCCTCCAACAGATGACGTGAAGTTGGAATGACAACACTGCTGGATGAGAGAGGGAGGAGTGAGGCTGAAGGAGCATCAAGAGTGACAGAGGTAGAGACAGAGAGGACAGGTAAAGGTGCAATAGAGGAAACCTTGGCTGAGCTGGCCAATAAAGAGTTACCAGGAGGACTCAACATGAAGTGCCCAGAATGAGGGAGAAGAAAAGTAGGAGGGTAGGCATGGAAAAAAAAAAAGTTGTCTGAATGAGTCCCCAACTAAAGCTGAGGGAAGAAGAACAGGGGATCAGAAAAGAGGAAGTAGAATGTTCAGAAGAGTGTCAAAAACGTCATGAAAAAGAGTAACCAGATGAGAGCACAGCAACTTGAACACCAGCATAACGAGGGACCAATCCATTGGTAGTATCTTGGTGGGTCTCAAGAGAAAGTGAGATGAAGTGTCCCCTTGGTGCAGGGTTAACTGTAAGTATCATCAAGAGATGTAAACAAACATGTCCAAAATTTGACTTATCCCTTCAAATTCATGTCTTAGAACTTTTGGTGGTATGTCCTGGTACCAATGACCAAAATTCATATGAGAGCTGAGATATGTCCTACATCTCATAAAGGTGGCATCTGATCTGGTCATCAAATGGGCAAAAATGACAAAACCCAGAAAAGATTATTAACAAACTGTATTTGGTATCATTGGAAACAGAATTTTTTCCACTGTAACATATCCAAAATTCACAAAAATCCGTTTTAGGGAAATCATGTAATATGCAGATAAGTTTACTGATGATGACTTTAAATTTTACACTAAATTTGACAAGTTACACATCAAAATATTAAGTGGCAATGTTTTATAATCAAATGAATATTTAGATCTTAGTGTAAATTCAAATAATAATATTTTACTTAAAAAATATAAATGTATTAAATAAATAAATAAATAAAGGGATAGAGGAGAGCTCAGTAAGCAAATTTCCAAACCAAAGAAATTAGCATTCTGTTATCTAGAATATTTAAGTAAATCAATAATTCTAGATTACAAACTACAAGTATAAAAAAATGTAAGGTAAATTATGCTCTGAGGTTGAATATACTTGTGCAAAAACAAACACTTACGGGTTTTCAACCATTCGTTGACAGACTTTTGCCATTGTACCTAAAGTCTCTGTTGTGTTTTCAATGGGAAGATCTTTATTGTCAGCCACAAACTGAGTCGTTGCATCACTAAGCATTTTCAACATAGGTGTGGCATGAGCATAGAACAAAGACATTTTATTGGCTAATTCATTGGGAACTTCACATTCTTCATCAACAGAATCCTATGACATCAAGATAAAAGATTTTTACTGTATGTTCTAGCATAACACATTGGAAACTTCACATTATTCATTAACAAAATTCTATAAAATCTAAATCAAAGACTTTTACTAATTTCCATTAGATTTAATTACTAAAATTACAATGCTCCTCTATTCTTTAATTTTTCAAATGTCGATTGGATTTACTTAACTTTCAAAAACAACGTTTCCAGGATAGAAAACAGCATTAATTTCTTTATGAAGCAAACTATAACCTAAGATTAATGAAGGTGCAGCAGTTATAAGCTGCAAGTTTATGCACAAAATGCTACATTTCCATTTATCTATGCAACTGTTGAAATTTAATAACACTGGATCACTATAATGATTGTGAAAGATCTAAAAACAATCTCATCCAGTCATAACACTTTAAATCATTTTATAGATTTTTACTGTTGAGAGTTTCCTTATAACTCCTATGCTGACTAAGTTTATCAATAAGGTTTATAACTTGATCAATAAGGCTTACAATTAGATCAATAAGCTTAGTTGATCAGTAAGGCTTACAAGTGATCAATAAGAATTAAAAATTGATCAATAAGGTTTATAGATTGCAATAATACTACCATTCCATTGAGTCTAAAACCTAAATTTATTTGACTCAGAATTTTAAATAACAAATTTAACCATTGAAAATGTAAGTAATCTACTCCTAAATGAACAGTTATTATCATTCATCCAACAAAACAGCCAAGAAGAATTAATTATTATTACTTTTTTAATAACCAAACTTATGTAGGTGGCCATTTGTAGCTAGTTCAACCATAGTTACAAATAACATATTAAAATATATGGAAAAATTAGCTGATTCTTAATAAACCAAATTTAATTTTTGAAACCTCGAACTGACACTCAGTTTACACAACCAAGGACAAAAAATATACTAAATATCTGTTTCTGGAGAAAACTAAATTGAATAATTCAGCACCCTATATCTCACTACAGTTGAATTGAGAGCCTTGAATGATCCTAATGAAAAAAAAAAAAAAAACACTTCGGTTGCCTTCTTTTAAAAGTGGCCAATGAAAACCACAGGACTGTATATTTTTCACAATCAATCACAAAATCCGTGGTATTTGTGGTATTACTGTTTATAAGATGGATGCTGATGAATCTAGTCAGTATATAAAACGCAAATACAAAATAAGTAGACATTAGCTATCAAATCTAAATTACACGACAAAGATACTTTTACAGTCTTAGCAATGTGATATGGAAAGATGGTACTTTATGCTAATTTTCCTGCAGTTTTCCCACAATGCATTGAGATTATTTGTTACAGTTTGACATGTTTTCACAACGGATGAATTCAAGCATTAATGTATTGATTGGTGATAGGTGGAATATAATGACTATTATTCAAGTTAGAAAATACCTAGAAACTTTTAAAGATTATGATATTTATATTTCAAGTTGTTTTAATAGAGCCAATCTAACCCTAGAAGAACTAAAGTAGCACCTTTATATAATTTTTAAAGTTTTACTTAAATTAAACTGTCCAAGTCATGAAAAACATCAGGTACCTAAAATAACTATATCTCAAACAACTTTCAGTAACTTGCTCTATGAGGTTTAATTTTTTTTAGAATAATTGTCTTTAGCATCATTGAGTCCTAGATATTTATACATTGGAAGATTATTTCAGCAACATAAATTAATTTGTTGTCATTGTAGAATTATATGAAATTTTGATAAAGCCACAATTTCCTAAGAAACTAATTTCCTAAGCTGTATGTAGGAGACAATATTGAAACTAATCAATCAAATATAAGCATGCATACTTTGAGTTTAAAGACTAACCATAACAGCTTACAAATCCTGCCAAATTCAACCATAAAAAAAAAAAAGAGTGAAAACTAAAATTTGCAGCATTTGAAACATGATAGTTGTTTTGTTTTTGGTCAGAGTACCTCCAAGAAAAAGGGATACAGGTTCTATTCTCTTGAATTATTATGTTTCTTATATATGATTGTAGGGTATATTAACCCTCCATATACCACTTGGAGTTTATTTTCACTTCACACCTATATCACTGAATACAGAATAAGCCAATATAGCTGTGACACACTATCTCCTGTAACCACAAACCTTTATCATTCCAGCCCTATATGTTTTCATTCCTGATTGTATTTACTTATATCACCTGGGATGAATTAACAATCCATTTTGTTTTAGATCTGTGAAGACTAAGTACCACTTTGAAGATGACAGGTGAAACAGCTTTAATTCAACAACTTCAGTAATAAAGTTTTGCCAAAACTTTTTTGGGGGTATTCAAAGGCTCTTAGGTGAATAGCCAGTTCAACCCAATACTATTGTATGTCTCCACTTTAATTCTTTTGGTATTTGTTTATAGTAATAGTGAACCACTTTAAAGTGTTGACCACCATTGGTTTTTATTTAACATTGGTTTAAGCTCTTATGATGTATAGTTAATATTATATAACAGTTCTGTATATAGTGTAATTAGTTAAGTTACATTAGCTTTTTCCTAATTACTTTGTCATATTTAGAATTGTTTGTTGTAACTTTGCCTTCTAAGCCTTACTATGAAACTTTCTGGAGACTTCTCACATTTAAATTTCAGCTTTTACAAAAGATTAACTTTATTTATTACTTCCTGTTGCCTGCTCCATGTGCTTTTTTTTTTACAGGGGGTTAGTTAAAATGGAATTAGTTATGTTACACACATCTAGTGTGTCTGTATTACATTTAACATTATATTTTCATCACAGAACCAACATTCTAGTTATTTAATGTATGATTCATGTACATATTTATTACTTTGTATCTTGATAAGCAACAGGTTTTGTCTGTACTCTTGGTAATCTTCTGCTTCTTTACTACACACCTAAATAGTAACATGTATTATAGTAATTTATCTCAGACATCACGCTTCTCTCAGGCTCACTGTTCGAGCTGATTAATGGATATTCGATGGCCACAAGATGTTTTTAGGGAAAGTTGTGGATAATTCACGTTATACATGTTACATTGTTCATTGAACATTAAATCTACAGCAAAACTTGAAGCAACTAATGTGTATCAATTCCTTAAGTAAGGTATACCCTATTATTTCTCTGTTACTTTCATTAATAGTATTGACTAGAATGTTTAATACATCTAATTTTAATATTTTAAATATTATTTATTATTATACTTTTAGCATAGAGATTGTTTTGCATTACTGGCATAATATAAGTATTTATGAATAACCTAAATCTCCTAAATTGGCTGAGCCACATGAAATATTATTGTGATTATGACTGAAAATATTGTTAACATCAAGAATACTCACTGATGAAACAATGCACTCAAATCTTTATAAGTAAGAAAGGTATATTTAATTAGCTCTACTCACTACCAGGTTGATCTTTAGCTTTTCTCTAAGTAGGTAGTTTGCTCTGATGGAAAATTAATAATAATTGCTTTTAAGGTGGGGGTACATTTGTACCCCCACGTGTTATAAGGTGAAAACTGACACAGTATATAGATGGTTAATAGCATACAATTGTTAATGTGATAACTGACCAAAATTGTTTAAGAAGTCAAGCAGCTTTTAAAAGATTTATGGAATACTTGAATAGTTTGAGATGTATGACATACAGATTTGATGGCTGTTTTATGTGCACCAAGTTAAATTCTTACTTGATTTGCTAGTCGCAGCCTGCTAACTGTTCTTCTGTAGTAGCTAAAATCATTCTGTATTGCTGGGTTTGTCATCTAAAAAAAGCATGAAGAAATAAAACATGAAAAGATTTTTATAAGAAACTTCATTCAAATAAACCTGTGTGAAGTATTTCTGATGACATCATTTTTAAGAATTATGTTAGATAAATTTTTTCTGCATCAAAATTCCTTTGTCAGTGTCAAAGTACAAAGTTACAATTTTCCTACACTGAAAATATATTTCCAATCTGTACTTACCTCCTCTCACATAAACAGCTATTCTCGTTCAGTGCTGCCCTCTGTATGCAATAATTTTTTTTACACATGCCACAAGCCTTCTATCTCCCCTCCACTGGAATTGACCGATTCCAATGAGCCTCTCATGCAAATCATCATGCATCAACCTTTCACCAATAAGAGTGTGACATACCCTCTATTCAATTCTACTAAACTATCACTTTGAGTTTTGGAAAAAAATGGAAGCACCAGTTTTCAGTTGGGAGGAAAGGTGGGAAGGGTCTCTCATGCAAATCATCATGCATCAACTCTTCACTAATAAGAGTTTGACATTCCCTCTTGATGCATGTGACTCCCTCTATTCAATTCTACCGAACTATCACTTTGAGTTTTGGCAAAAAATGGAAGTACTGGTTTTCAGTGGGGAGGAAAGGTGGGAAGTGTGAAGGGAGTTAAGTACCTATCAGAAATACATTTTCAGTATAGGAAAATTATAACTTCTGATATGGTACATTACCTCTACTCACATAAATAGCTAGAATCCCACATTTAACCATATTAATATGCAAGTACTTCCACCATGACCCACTACACGGATGGATTTTAAAGAGTAAAAATGAGGGATGGAATAGAGACATCTGTAATACATGTGTGAGGACTTATGTTGATTGGTTCTACTCTAAATCCAAAACCCAGCCACTGAGAACTGACATCCACAAGGGGGTAAAACAAGGGAGCCCAATCGAACTGCAATCTTGACGGTTCACTCCCATGGTACGTTGTGGAGGATATCTTGACCTCTACACCAACAGAACTCCACTACCCGTCTCTCAAAAGAATGGTTTTAAAATAATTTATATATATTACTAGTATTTCATTATCACATTCAGGAAGATGCCTCTACAGTCCACCACCCCAGCAGCTTGAAAATGAAGAGTGGTAAGGATTCTCAAAATCCACTTGAAGAAAAGGGAAGAAAGCGTGGTGGAGAGTTTGATGGAATGATAACACCTGAGACAGTGCAATGGGTGACCATGAAACACTATTTTGAAAGGCAGAACATACCGGGTTATTCAATACAAGGCATGGTAGGGATGAGCA